GTGTATGTATGTATAAGAGACAGACAGACAGACAGTCAGGAAGGAATGAAGAAAGAAAGAAAGAAAGAAAGAAAGAAAGAAAGAAAGAAAGAAAGAAAGAAAGAAAGAAAGAAAGAAAGAGAGCAGACATACACAGAGAGGAGGAAAGGAGAGAAAGAGAGATTATGGTATGGCAATCTCTTCTGGAAGAATGACTAGGGAAAATTAGAGCACTTCACATCCATTGTGTCCTTTACACTTGGTGTTTCACCATTTTTAATTCTTTCTACCCTTTTTCATTTTACATTTTTGGTTAATGTTATGGTTCAAGATCTCCTTTATCCATGAGAATCATATACTGCCTGGGTCAAACTGAACAAAGCAAGGAACTCAGTGGTTCAGGACCCTATTGAAAACAGCTGAATTCACTGATTATTCACATTGCTTAGATGGTATCTGTATATTTCATCAATGGCACCATCTTTGGGGCAGCAAAATCATTAAATTATGGATTACATTCTGGATCCTTTGACCCAAACTGCGTGATAAAATGAAGCCTTGAAATAGTCATTACTTTCATTCCCTGTTCAGTATTATTAAAATACACTTCTCTCAGAGATGTTGCCCATCTATCTGTGATTATCTGTATTATAAAGCTATAATGATGCAGGCTTTCTGATTGAAGAGTGGATGACCATCTACCAAGGGAAAAAGCTATAATGATATAGACTTTCAGACTCAAGAAAAAGGCACAAATACAGACCTTATGGGAAGAAGACTTTGGTTGAAAGGCAGCAGAAATGGTGAAGGGATTTTGGAAACGCATTGTGCCCTAGTCCTAGAGCATGATTCTGTGGACATTCCTAAGACAATGACTTTTCTTTAGTTTCTCAGTAGCAATTTTTTAAGTTGGGACCTTGGACCATCAAAATTATCAATGATACTAGCCAAAAATATAGATTCCCTAGACTTGATGCAAGTTTTATGAACCTGACTCTGAAGTCCACAAAAGGGGATTTCCTTTTCAGAAAGTACCATAAATGGATAATGTATGATTAATACTAAGCTACAAAAATGTTTGCAGCAGTGGCCACTGGGGGAAAAATCCCCTTTCCAGTATCCATATCAAAATGAGAGCACACATTTCAAAACAAAATCTGTGGCTGCATCATCAGGCTGTGGGGATGGGGTGTGATAACCATTTCATCTAGAACTAGAATGGTGAAGGAAATAGAAATCAAACTCAATCCAGCATATTTCATTTCCTCTAATTTCTTTGCAGATATCCATCATTGTATACTCCCTTACCAACGACATCTAACTCCATTGTAGTTCCAAACACACACTGCTCTCTGATCCTTTCTCTAGTATGTTTTTTTGACACTATAAAAGAAAATAAATAAATTGGAACAGTAGGCCATCAAGATTGCAAGATGCCAACAATACCAAGACATTAAAGAGAGAAATGGCCTATGCTAAACCCTATAACTCAGCATGCAAATTGGCAAGAACATTTATCTGCTACAGAGTCACCAGGGGAAAAATAATTCCCTTCATTTTTCCTTAGAAAATTGTTATGTCAAGTAGAGATGACAAAGAATTCATTCTATAAGTTCACAGAAAATGTCTTATTAATTCTAGCAAAGATCAAACATAAGGCCAACATTACTCAAATTCCATGACAAGGTATCCAGTGGTAGAGAATGCCAACACCCATTGATTCTGGGTTAGTCTACTCTACTCTACACCACACTGGAAAGTTGAAGTGACAGCAAAGAAAAGTTTGAGAATCAAATTTTGACTTCCATTTTAGGAACTGTGATGGAGTAATTTTGCAAAATACCGTATCTGCCATTTCTTTCCGAACTTGTTCTGCTTAGCAGGAAAAAAAAAAAAAGAATACTCAGAGAGTACGGAGAAGCAAACACAACCCAGAATCATCAGCAGGGGTGGCTAAGAGGGTGAATAATAAGCAGAACACCTGCCATCTGTGGGAAAGGATGCTTCTCAATGAAACAAGACCAACTGATACCTGGAAAGTTCCATGTGGCCCCTCTTTAACCAAGTGTTACTCCAAAATGAGTCAGCTGGAGCAAACACTCCACTAGAGAGGCATGTTTGTCATTCCACTCTTCCTCCTTTTTAACAACTCAGCATGCATGCATTTCCAGTAGGACAGTCATGCTTATGTACAAAGGAGTACATCACAGTGTGTTTTGGAAGCCACACTTCACAGGGTCACTCATGAATATATATCAGTGTATTTTCCCCTGAGCAATGGAAGAGCTAATTATGAGTTGTGTTCATATTTGTCTTTTCCTTTATCCTGTTGCTGTTTGAATATTGTTTCCTTCTTAATAATGGGCAGGAGAACTTTATAAATATGTCCCTGACTTCAGGAGACTCACATCATTTAGGAAATGAGCTCCCCAAGTTCACTGGATTTAGCCTTACAGGATTTTTCAGAAGGCAGTCCAAACTAAGTCTCTACACATATCAAGTCACATTCATTTGACCATCCAGTACTATTTATTTCTTGATGGCAACAATGCACAACTCCTGTCAAAATCCACATGCAAGAACTGAACTATATATAATATTGTTCTGTCCATTACTGAACATAGGCTTCTGAAGCCAGGGATATCAGAGTGCTTAAGCTCATGGCTCACTTAGCCAAAGATCACTTCCAATGTGTTGAAGTCTATAAGGAGCACAATGGATAACTACACCAAAGGGAACCTAAGACTTTATGTTCTTGATGCCTTTTCAAGGCCTTCTACCAACCTTGGCTATATTCCTGAACATATCAATGTCCTCACAAGTGAATGCCATGCTTTTCATCTTTTCTCTTTTAACATTTTACCATGGTGCCAGGTAGTCCAATATGAAAATGATATGTTGTTGTTTTCAACAGATTCCTACTACTAACCTAATTGCTGTGGTTACAAGCAGTACCTGTGGGGGTAGGGGGGATACCTTAAACAGAGCCTGGGGAACATTGCATTTGGGTACAGTATTTCATTTCCTATTTGAAGACTGTAGCAGTATCTATGGGTTGATGGCCAGTTCTCTCTGTCTTTATGTCCTCTACCATTATGATTAGGGCTGAAATTTAAGGAAACTTGGGACTTTGGCCAATTTTTTCAAATCTCAGATTCCCTGATAGCCCTTTCAGTGAATCAAGAACTGTCCCATCAACAACTCACATCCAGTGTTCTCTGACCCATTAAAATCCATGAGGCTTCACAACATCTTCTAGAGTTAACTATGATATTTTGTGATGTACCATCAAGACACAGAGAGAGAATGAAGATGCATTAGGAGGCTTTACACACAAAGCTATCTATCAACTATCTGCTAAAATATTAATAAACAAAAGAATTCTTTCACAAATGATGATTTTCCTGGCAACTCGGCAACCAAAGGAAACTTTCTTTTTCACTTAAATAAAATTTCAAAGTTTATCTGAAGCATCAGGACAAGGAAACATTGCCTTATTACCCAGCTGTATAGTCAAGAGTTACAAATATTTCAGAAAGAAAACCATATACTAATGGACACCAATAAATCAATGAGGAGATTCATAAATAATAAATGTACCTAAATGAAAGTGTTCAGAAAGAAGAAACTGGTCATTAGATTTTCCTTCCGTAGACACTGTCTGGTTGTCTTTATTATCTGTGCTAACTATACACACATGCATACACACTCACACATTCACATGTACACATCACACACACACACACAACAAAATAATTAGCAGTTCTTGGCACATTATAGTGACAAACCATTTTTTTTCAGTTACCACTGAGATGTGTGAGGAATGTTAAAAATGAAAAGTTGTCTTTGGACATTCATTTAGCACAAGTGAACAAAAGAATTATTGGTAGATTAATAGAAGACAAGAGTCATGTGGATAGATATTGTTAATAATTTCTTTTGGACTGTATCTATACAGGTTAGGAATATATTCTTTAAAAAAAATCTTAAAAAGTCAAATTTATACCTTTAGTGTTCCAGCCACCCACTTGGGTCATTACAGACATTTTAGAAATCATACAACTAAACCACGGCCATAGCCAAACCCAAGGAACCCAAAGGCAACCAAGCCTGGCCACAGGCAAGCAACAATGTACAGTTGTAGTTTAAAGTTCATAAGAGAAATTAAGAAGCATGTGGGGGTACAAGTCTCTAAAGCAAGCAAACTGAAGGCTGGATGCATCTTGAATTATTGGGTGTTGTTCATAGCTTTACAACTCATAGGGATGCAAAGAACTTGCCTGAATTATATATTAAAAAGGCCTCATCAATAAAATGTGAGCAAGTTAGAACTCTAAGTCAGGTAGAGAATGGTGATCATCAAATGAGAGTGGCAAAGGCTGAGTGCAGGGCATCTCAAAGCTGTGCTTATGGATGTGAATATTTGCTTATTTGTTAAACGTGAACAGTGTTCCACTAGCTCATCTCACTGTCTCCTCATGTAGGGAGAGAGCAGAGCAATGCAAAGGAGCCTGTGGGTATTTATTTCAAAATAAGAAAAGAATTTGTTGATGATGGGGACCTTTTCAGCATTAGAAAGTGTTGCCAAGGGAGGCTGGGAAATCTGCCCAGGAGGGTTGAAATAAAGAGGCAGAGGTGTCTTTGTCTGAAGTGCTCTTGTGGGGGCAGCTGGCAGCAGAGTGTCAGCCCTTTGTTGCCCAGGCCCTGGGTCGTGTGCATCCATTGTGCATATATACAGACATATATTGTGCTTGTGTTGCACAAGTGCTCATGCATACAGAGTCAATAGAAACTGGCACATATAGATCTAGGTGAAAAATCATATAAATCTGCCATTCTCCCCTCACCCCATAAACAAAAGGAAAGAAAAAAGTAAAAGTCTTCACATGTGCACTGGGTCATATCTCTTCCTCCATCCTTGGCCAAAGGAAGGAGGCAGACTATGAGAGGGGGGAAATCATTTTGGGATAGATGACCCCTAAAGACTGTGAGCTGCTCACATGTAGCTGGATTTCATTGTATGTAAGATTCTCAGCACATGGGATCAAGTTAGTAAAAGACAAAGGACAACACAAGAGCTTGCTTCTGGTACCACATCTGAAAAGACATCTACCCTGTGGATTTACACGTTAAGGTGAGCTAGTAAAAGTAGGCAGTAGTACATCAATGGACTATTGTGTTCTAACAATGTGGATCATTAGTTGTTACTTTTCCTTTAACATGTGTTCCTTCGGGGAGGTTTATTTCAAAGTGGTGACTACCCCCAGCCCTCCCCTATAGATGATACTTCCGTAAAAGTTCAGACTGCCAGGGATGTTTCCTCTCAGGGAAGCGATCTGGAATTTTTATCTTCAGGAAATCCTGGATACACTTCTCCAGCTCTTCTTCGATGGAGAGCTTTTCCTTGGCAGCTTTCTTTTTGCTGCTTATGTTCGACTCCCTGGAGCCCGACGTCAGAGTCCTGAGCAGGTCACTTTTCCGCCTCATCTCTGACTGCTGGATCAGCTGCACAGGGCCCTTCTTAATGGGCCTGTCCAGAGTCTGGATATTGCTCTGGCGCGTTACAGGACCACAGATCACAGTCTCCTGAGGAGAGCTGGCCTCTGATTGGCTGTCGCAGCTGGAAGTGGAGAGGTCATTGCAAGAGGTGCCACTCTCGCCTTTGTCTCCCTTGCCATTCTTGCAGCAGCAATCACAATGAGAGGAGGACCACCTGGAAGGTTCACCTGGAATGCAAACAGACCCAAAAATGAATGCCAGCAACTCAGGGTGATGCAGAGGCAAAAGGCATTAGTACTCAGAGAGTACAGGTGACCTACAACAGCGACATCCAGAAGCTAAGCCATGACTAATATTAGACTGTGCATCTAGTAGAATACGGTATCATGCTTAAGCACAGCCCTAGTCGGAAATACCCAGGTGTTTTTCAGCCCTGGCACCTGCTAAACCCAAATTTTAAAGAATTCAGTTATACCATCATTAAAACCAAGATTTTTTTTTAACTACCTGGAGTCTTGGGGATGACTTAGATGAGACAAGCAGAATGAAGTAGGTGACATACAGTAATCTCAGAAAATGCTTGCCAGCTTCACCATGGGTAACATTAAACCCTCAGCTAAAGCTCCACCTGCAGCAGTCAGGACTCAGGAAGAGGCTATGTAAGTGGAAATGCAGCGGCTAGTGAAGAGGGCTCTGACTAGCCCCAGCATCTCATCGGTTTTACATCATCCTATGAGCACAACAGCTCCACTTGGCATTTACACACATGGAAACACTAAGACCCAGGAATGAAACAGATACGCCATGGTTTGAATAGCATGTTAGTGGAAGAGCTGGGATTTGAATACAGATGCCCCAAATGTAATAACCAAGTCAATTAACTGCTTCCTAGAACAAATTGCCTGTCTGTAAAATTCGTGCTTCTTAAAGTACTGTTCAAGTGTGAATTTCTCTGAAGTCCCTATGCACCTCTCCTAAAAATGTTTGCCTCCTCACAGGTATGGCTGTATTTTTAAGTTCCTTAACTATTGCACATACCTACTTTATGTATCCCAGCATCTACTAAACCACCATCTTCCTAATGTTGATATGGTGAGGTGTTCATTGTTGTAGGTCTAATGAATCACCCAAGGTACAGGAAAGAACGCAATAATACAGAGCATCTTAGTAATAACTTCCAAGTTGCTGAATTTCACCATGCTTGAAGCTAGTCTTGTCAGTGGGTGGGTCGATTATAGGACAACTAAATTTCCTTTTTTTTTTTTTTTTTTTTTTTTTTTTTTTTGTTTAAGCCAGTGTGCGAACTTCTGTCCCTATACCGAATGTTGACTCTTAAAAGTAAGTTCAGCAATTTAGAAACAGAGCAATTATTTTAGATACACAGTTGGTGGCTCCGTGAACTTTAAAAAATAAAAAAATTCACAATAATGGCGCAAAACAACTTTTTCAAACATAAGTTATGGCCCCTAGGCTTCTAGTGTCTGAACAGCCCCAAGCCTCCTTGAATCATACTACATACCGTCCATATATTACAGGCTGGGTGGTGTGAAATATTACTTTAACTATGTAAAGATGTGTTACGTTTGTTTATGCTGCATTTGTTTAATGATTTAAGGATGTGTATTAATTATGTAAGGATGTGCTGCATTTGTTTCACCTGGCCTGCCTACAGCGCCTGATTGGTCTAATAAAGAGCTGAACGGCCAATAGCTAGGCAGAGAGAGGAGTAGACAGGGCTGGCAGGCAGAGAGAATAAATAGCAGGAGGAATCTAGGCACTAGGCTTGGGAGAAGAAGAGAAAGCAAGAAGAGGAGAAGAGAGGGAAAGAGAGGGCCACACCTGGGGCGAGAAGCCGGGCCACTGCCAGACAGACAGGAGAAGCAGAAAATACGATATGTAGATGGAAGGGAACGTAGAAAGCCTCAAGGCAAAAGGTAGATAAAGAGAAACAGGTTAGTTTAAGTTAAAAGAACTACCAAGAAATGAGGCTAACCTAGGCCAAGCATTCATAACTAATAAGAAATTTCTGTGTCACAATTTGAGAGCTGGTTGGTGGTCCAAAAGAGAAAACCTGGTATAGCTGGGCATTCCAATTCACCCACTTCACTGATAGATCGAAACTATGAAAGGAACTAATATCCTTATGATATTAATATAATAGAAAGATGATACATATTTTCTGTGATTTTATAAAAATTTAGTTTTTATTTTTCTATGTCTTATTCTTATAAACAATAGGTATCATCATCAAAAAAAATCTAGTTCTCTGCCATTTCTAATATGATCAAGGAAATGAACCTATTAAAAAAAAATCAGCTCTTGACTACCAATGAAATGCCTATATTTTACATGTATAAGTGATTTTCACACATGACAACTAGTCATATTTTTTCCAGAGGAAGCAAAAATATTTTTCTCTAAATCACAGCCCCAGAATACCTAACTCATCAAGTCACTTTCTAACATACAATTGAGTAATAATTGTACTTACATAGCTATTAAATTAAATGCAGCAATCCAATTAGCCAAAAGGAATCATAATAGCAATAATGTCATAGCTATTCTTAGTTATTACAAATAAATATCTTCTGTGAAATGGAGAAACCTCTCATCATGTGCCAGCCAGTGCTTGGGAATATGTGCAATAAAAAAGGCTTTTGGTCTGCCAGGTAAATTAAGGGAAATAATCCTCACTTCTAGTCAACAGAATCTGCCTCAGCTGCCTGACAATAGGGTCATTCTTTATTAATATAACTCAAATCAGGGTAGCTCAAATGAATTGAACTGAATGAAAGTAATCACTTCAGACCAGAGTTTATCTAACTTAGTCCACAGGAGAATGTTTAGAAATTAAATTTATCATGGAGGAAAAAGAAACAAAGGAAAAGGATAAGGAAGGGAAATTCAGGAAAGAATATATGTATGTATGTATGTATGTATGTACGTATATATGTATGTATGTATGTGTGTGTGTGTGTGTGTGTGTGTGTGTGTGTGTGTGTGTTACCTTAAAACAAGATGACAAAATATTTTACCCATAAGGCCTGCTGAGTCAATAGAAATGTATGTTTCTGCCCAGGGGATCTCTTTCCCAAGAAAGTCCTTCCAATTACCCAGCTCCAGAGGAAGTCTGAACCTTCTTGGCATTCTTTAATTACCACCCAAATCCTTGTCATCGACCCCCATGCATTCATGTGCAACCTTGCACTGCATAGCAAGCAAGGGACCAGGTACTACTGCAGTTTGTCTGCCTAAGCTACTGGAAAGATCCAGCTTTTGAGTGTCATATAGGAATCTTCAGTTTCCAGGCAAGTAGAATTATTACCTTCCATTCATTCTGGGCACTATCACTCTCACAAGGAAATTGAACAACTTAATTTTAGTGTAGCTTGTCACTACTACACATTTTAATATTTCACAAGGACATTTGAGTATTATACCATTTAGGCAAGATAATTTATAAAATGTCTTCTGAGGTCTCTATATTGTTTTGAAAGGGAGAAGGTGGGATTAATACAGTCAAAGCAGAGCCAAAATGAGATTTGAAAATAGTCATGTTGAACAGAGAAATTCACAAGCACTGTCTCCAACTACCCTCTTCCCAATAATGTCACTGAAGCAACATTTTGAAATTAGGGTGCTGCAAGTATAAGGACCTTTGCCCTTGCAGCTCCCTCTGAAGCATGCTCACAAGTTTTAAGAATTCATGAAAGATCTATGCCAGCTCAACTCTCTTATATAACAAATTTCAGGGTCTTCCCAATGATGAAGAACAGTGTCACAAATACCCCAGTGTTTCAAATTCAAACCCTTCACTTTTGATTAGTGATGTTTCAACATTTGTTGGAGTCTTTACATGTAGCAAGAAAACAGGTTACAACTGATTGACCATATATGGAGGGAGATTATTTTTTCCAAAGAAAATCTAACTCAATGATACTAGATGAGAAGAAAATCCATTACCTTTTGGATGTTTATCAATTAATTGCTGGACATAAAATTTGGTAATAACATCTTGTTTTTTTAATAAGCCATTTCTGATTTTGAGGGCTTCTGTGACAGTTTTGGTATCTGGCACATAACAGATCTTTGGTAAATGTTTTATGAATGAGAAAACATGCTTTAAAATGTACTTTCAGATGTTTCAAGTTGAAAACATGGCAGAAAAGATCTTAGGCTCCAGCATCAAGCACCACAATTGGACAACTGTGTGCTTTGGAGCAATTACTTGAGATCTCTGAGAATCATTTGAAAAATAAGTAAACTAATAGTTTTTGTTCATAGATATTTGAAGAGAATTTGATGAAATCATTGCAGTTATATGAAGTCCCAGTCTGTAGCACAAAATACATACTCCATTCATTCAAATATATTGGCTATACTGCAAGTCAGACCTCAATCTGCACAAACAAGCCCAACTAGGAATTTAACTGATATAATGATTCTGATACAAATATACAGTCAATATTTACTGATGACTCAAGGACCTCATTAGGAATGACGTTGTAGCAATAGATGGACACTGTAAATAAATGTTAACTTGAGTATCCAGTAATCCCTGACTTGGCATTGGAATGGAGAATAATGATGAGCACAAAACATACATGGCAGGTACCAATATTTTTGGAAGAAAGACGTCTTCCAGTGCAGTGCTTAAAAGTTAACAAGTAGACTAGTCCTCTAGTATAAAATTTACTTGAACTATTTAGATTCAGGACAGGAAGAACTTTGTATTTTAAATTAAATGCAGGGCAAGTGGGATCATCAGCTTTCCAAATATCTACATCCAAATCTTTGAATATTTTATATCTCGGCAACATCAAGGATGAATCAGGCAGATGGTATGACTGAGGTGTCCCATCTTCCACAGAGCCCAGAGTCCAGCAGTTCTTACTGGTAAGAATTAAGAGGGGAAAGCCTACAAAATATGCCTCCTCCATGAAAAATTCAAGCCAGCTGAGTGAGACATGACTTAGCAAACTCACAAAGTGCTTATGCATTTTTAAAGGAGACACCTCTGTAATCTACCCACACTTCAAATTCTCTACCTGCTAATGGCTGGGAGTACAATGGTCTACATTACAGCATCAGCTGGGAGAGCTGGTCCTCCATGACTTCTTCATCAATGATGTAGGAGCCTTCCAGTCTGGGAGAGAAGTGGCCAGATTTAATTTATCAAGGCTGGTAAAAGTTTCTTGGTTTCACAGCTGAAAAGTCAATTGAAGAT